GATGGAAACTGATCAAGGAGAGAAGCAACCTGGAATTAAAGAGAAACTTCCTAACAACGAGGACAATTAACCAGTGGAAGGGCTTTCCTCCAGAAGTTGTGGATGCTCCATCACTAGAGGGTTTTAAGAAGAGACTGGACAGCCACTTGTCTGAAATGATATAGGGTTTCCTGCTTGAGCAAGAGGCTGGACTAGAAGATCCCCAAGGTCCCTTCCAGCTCTATTCTGATTCTGATTGGTTTGTTTTTGGTTTGGATTTAATCAGTAAAAGATTTCAGAGGAACTCTTTTATTAACACTGCTCTCCAGGAGCCTTTTTGCATTCAGATAACAGAATAACAGAATTGGAAGGGACCTTGGAGGTCCCTGCTCAAGTAGGAGACCCTATCCCATTTCTGACAAATGGCTGTCCAATCTCTTCTTAAAACCCTCCAGTGATGGAGCACCCACAACTTCTGGAGGCAAGATGTTCCTCTGGTTTATTGTTCTAACTGTCAGGAATTTTCTCCTTAGTTCTAGGTTGCTTCTCTCCTTGGTGAGTTTCCATCCGTTGCTTCTTCTCCTGCCTTCAGCTGCTTTGGAGAATAACTTGACTCCCTCTTCTTTGTGGCAGCTCCTCAAACATTGAAGCCCTGCTATCATGTCTCCCCTAGTCCTCCTTTTCACTAGACTTCTTCTTCTTGTGCCATATCCATTATCGGACGTTGTCTATCATGTTGGCGATTCACTAGACTAGACATACCCAATTCCCACAACGATCTTTACATGTTGTAGCCTCCAGTCCCCTAATCATCTTTGTTGCTCTTCTCTGCACTCTGTGCTGCATTCAGATAACAGGAATAGCACAGACACACTCCCACTTCTGCCTACGTGCTAAGCTTCCTCCCCATTCTCAAATGTAGGGTTAAAATTATTACTTTGTCCGTCAGAATCTGTCTCATTTCCGTTTGCCAGAAAGGTTCCAAAAAGAAGAAGACCGGACAGCAGAATCAGGCACATCTTTAAACCTGTACAATTCGTAGAGACAGAGTTATTGTGGTTTTTAGACCCTTGGCATTTGACATTCACATTCCAGCTTGCCTGGAAAATGCATAGCAAAAGATACAGTCCCAGCCCAGCCTAAGGATACGTGATACATACCCGCACAAATCACTAATTTAACAAACTATAAACATACACTAAGCATACTTTGTACCCCCTTCATTAGACCTCAGGACGAACATCCAGCCAGATGCCTCTTAGTAGCTGTACATTTCTTAACGAGTTATCCTACATGGCAAGCAAATTGTTTCTCTGCACTTACGCTGTGCTTTCTGCTGTTCGAGATGTGGCTCCAGAGAAAGTACTTTCCTTCCAGTGGCAAGAGTTATTTTATATCCCTCGTGGATTGGGCAACGTGAAGGGTTGTGCAAATGGATTGCTCAAGGGGGTACCCCTTATCTTTTATTCTTCCTTCCCCCCCAAAGTAATTATGGCTGTTTGTTTAAGAACAGCCAGGACTTTCTGGTTGAAGGTTTAGAAAAATTGGAAGTTCTCCAGTGAAAAAGGGGAGGCAAAATATGAGGAAATATTGGAGGATACAGGGTGTACACCTGCGAATGAATTTCCCTGGAAGATTTTGCAATGCTTGACAATAAAAAAAAATATGCAGAAAGATCTCTTCAAAGTTACACCAAAGAAATCCAGAATTTTGCAAACCACCAGAACTGCAGCTGAGACAGAAAGAGGTACCTGTTAAAAGGGCATTGTATAAATTAGTCAACAACTCAGTTTAGGCGGCGCTCAGACCCGTAGAGAGAGTGAGACAGAATGAAAGGAAGCTGAGAGGATAAAGTGGATTTGCCAGTTTGGGAAATAATATTTGTTGCATAGAATATCCCACAACTTTATAGATTTATAGGGTGATTTTTAGTAGTTAGAATCTGTCATTTTTGACGTTTCTTGCTCTTTATCCCTTAAGTAAGATCTCCTTTTATGTCTATTTGCAGCTGTTTTGAGAAAGTGTGCATTTTCACTAATGCATATCCATATACCTTCATTTACAGGTATTGTCTACATTTTTCTCCAAACTGCTTTTAATCCTGTAAGATAAGATATTTCCTTAATATTATAACATTTTTGTATGCTTTTGTGTGTGTGAGAGAGAGACACATAAATGTATACCGTATTTTCCGGCGTATAAGACGACTGAGCGTATAAGACGACCCCCAACTTTTCCAGTTAAAATATAGAGTGTGAGTGAGAGAAAGGGGGGGGGAGAGAAAACTTGATGAGTAATATGCCAAACCACATGTGTAAAGGAATAAAATAGAATACCCGTATTTTCCGGCGTATAAGACGACTGGGCGTATAAGACAACCCCCGACTTTTGAGAAGATTTTCAGGGTTTAGAAAGTCATCTTATATGCCGGAAAATACGGTAATTCTGACTTGGAAAATGGATTTGAAATCTCTCAGAAAACAAAACTGCAGATCAAGGGTTATATTTATTTTGAAAGGGGCATATTTATCCTTTCCTAAATACACATCGAATCTAATCTCACTTTATCCCTAGCTTCAGATCGCCTCTTTTTATTTCCGACTATCCTTTCCAATCAAAATAACTCTGGATATTGCTGTTGATGCATTTATGCCCATAGAGAAACAAAAAACATACTGACAGAACCTAATGATTAAGGTAAACCCATTAAAAGAAATGACTTGATGCTGGGCCAGGGATTCCCAAACTCCGGTCCATGGACTGGAAGTGGTCTGTGGCCTTTTTGGAACCAGCCTGGGGAAACGAGCGAAGCTTCAACTGTGCATGTGCAGGATCTAGGTAACATGTGAAACCATCCCTCCCCCCCCCCCAGCCAAGTCTGTGGAAAAATTGTTTTCCACAAAACTGGTCCCTGGTGTCATTTGGGGACAACTCCAAATACATCTGGAATTTGGCAATCTCCAAATACATTGACGGCTAGGCTAGGCTAGGCTAGGCTAGGCTAGGCTAGGCTAGGCTAGGCTAGGCTAGGACAGGACAGGACAGGACAGGACAGGACAGGACAGGACAGGACAGGACAGGACAGGACAGGACAGAGTAGAGAGTAGAGAGTAGAGAGTAGAGAGTAGAGAGTAGAGAGTAGAGAGTAGAGTAGAGTAGAGTAGAGTAGAGTAGAGTAGAGTAGAGTAGAGTAGAGAGTAGAGTAGAGTAGAGTAGAGTAGAGTAGAGTAGAGTAGAGTAGAGTAGAGTAGAGTAGAGTAGAGTAGAGTAGAGTAGAGTAGAGTGGGATTTGAACTGAATTGACAAGAGACACTTTATAACTTAGGCCAATTTAGTTTTTGTTACAAACTAAATTGAAGAAGGAGACTATTCACTAAGGATTAATTATTCCTCTTTTCTGAGCACTTAGGTGAAAAACATTCTTTCAAAATCCCGAATATTCCCTAGATATTTTGGAGAATCAGTGCCTACGGATTTATATATCTTGTTTCATATTAAGTTTTTTTTTCCATCTCAGCTCTTATCTTTTTGTTCTCCCATTCATCTCTTGGTGATTGAGGGAATACAAGGATAGTAAAACTGGGTTGTTGTTTTTTGTAATATGGAAGTTCTACTGTCTTTGTTTTCGTTTTTCGGTGGATATTTTGCTTTGCGGTGGGTTACCAGTAATTGAAATATCTTAGTGCAGACATGTCAAACACAAGGCCCGGGGGCCGGATGCGGCCCGCGAAGTGGTTTCATGTGGCCCGCAAAGCCATCCTGAAAACAGTGAGGGAATGGCCACCACTGCCCTGGCCCAGGCCGGCTGGGGGCCAATGTACAATTTTGTGGTGGCCATCTATGCTGAAACGCATTCAGTCTTAGCTCCACAAGGTCGTCTGGAAACAGCAAGGAACCAGCCCCTGCCGCGTCGGCCCCTGCCCCCTGGGTGCATGCTGGGGAGGTGTCACCCTTTGTGAGGAATGAAGAAATGCACCATCGCCTGGAAGTGGCCAGCAAATGGCGCTCGCCTACTTCACATATCCGGCTTGATGGGCTCTGGGGGAGGGATTTCGGCAGGCAGCGGGGCACTCTCCTCACAGCTGGGCCAGGCGGAGCAAATCCCAAAAGAAACGAGAGGCCGCTCAGCTCCCAGCCTGCCCGGTTTCAGCAGGCAGCGGGGCGCTCTCCGCATAACGCCAAGAGCTGAGCCGGGTTGTGTGAATCTGATGAGAAGTGCAATGCTGCCTAGCTCCCAGCCTGCCCAGTTTCAGCAGGCAGCAAGGTGCAAAGCTGAAGAGGAGGAGGAGGAGGAGGAATGAGGATGAGAAGGGGGGAGGAGGAGGAGCAAGAGGCTGGACTAGAAGAGCTCCATATTTTGCTCTCTCTCTCTCTCTCTCTCTCTCTCTCTCTCTCTCTCTCTCTCTCTCTCTCTCTCTCTCTCTCAACTGAACTTTCTTGCTTTTTTTTTTTTTTTTTGAAAACATTTCTCTTCCCATCCAAGAAGCTGCCTCAATTCAGAACTAAAGGAGGAGGGGTTTTTTTTTTGGATGAGAAGCAAAATGTTTTCAAAGAAAAAAGCCAAGAAAAGCCAGTTGCCTTTTAGAAAAGCCCCATTCTGAGTCCTAGAGATGCCATACAGTATTTCTACAGTGCCGTCAACTCCAGCCAACAATGGTCAACCCAACCAAGATAATGATTCTGTAATGGCTATGATATTATTCAATGCTTGGGGGCGGGTGCCTTTGGATCAGTGTTAATGATCGACTCACTCCTGGTGACTGCCTGGACAAGTCCTTGCCATTTTCTTGACAAGATTTTGCAACTGATTTACTGTTGTCTTCTTCTTCTTAGGCCTGAGGGTAGCGATTGGCCAAGATTAGCCTTTTGGCTTCATGTCTCAGGAAGGATTGAATCTTCTGGAATCCTAGTCTCTAGTCTGGTGTCCTTTAATCCAGAGGTCTCCAACTTTGGAGGCACCAAGGACCAGTTCCGTGGAGAGAGGTTTTTCTGTGGGCCGGAGGGTGTGTGGTTTTGTGTGCTGCCTACATCCTGCTTATGGGGCTTTGCTTGTTTGTGTGGACTGGTTTCTGGCATGCCACGGCCCATTACCGGTCCACGGCTCGGGGGTTGGGGACTCCTACTTTAACCACTACAAACTGGTTCCAATATGTATTATTAGCCCTAGGAAACCTAGTTTGGGTCCAGAAGGCTACATGGCTATTTTCAAAGCCTAAATCAATGGTGCCTTTCAAACTCATTACTTGATCGATCAAGGGGTAGTGCATGCTTAGAGACCACAACTGCAACTGGCAACTCTTATCAAAATACCATGAGGCCATTACAACAACACTTCCCATGAGGTCAATAAGCAAGACGTACAAGCCTCACTTTCATTTTTTTCAATTTCACTGCTGGGTTCTCCATGGACTCTGCATACCAGGAGCCAGTTACGAAGCAAATGACAATTGCATGACTTTGGGTCACTGCAATAGGTTATAAGGGTGAGGATCTTGTGCATCCATGACCTTTCCTTTCCTTTCCTTTTCTTTCCTTTCCTTTCCTTTCCTTTCCTTTCCTTTCCTTTCCTTTCCTTTCCTTTCCCTTCCTTTCCTTTCCTTTCCTTTCCATTCCTTTCCCTTCATCTTCATCTTCATTTCCTCCCTTCTTCCCTTTCCTTTCTTCCCTTTCCTTTCCTTCATCTCCATTTCCGCTCTCCCTCTCCTTGTGCAGCTATTTTTTTTTTAGTGCCGCCATAACTTCAAACAGTTGCAAAACTAGAACGGCAGTCAAGTGAGGCCTACCTTAAAGGATGCCTGTGTTTCTAATTTATTCATTTTTAAATAAATGGATGGATGGATGGATGGACAGATGGACAAAAACAATCAAAGAAGAGAAGTGATATTTGCTTCATGCTTTTATTGAACTTTCTGGAATATTCTAAAGGCAAGCGGGATCAGGTGTAGGTGGTCTAAATTTTGACGTCTCCTGATTTGGTTGGGTTGCTTTCGGCTTGTTATGTCTTAGGTAGCTCCTCTCTTCAGCAGAGCATGCAGGTCTTCCTTCTCATAAAATGAAATAAAACTCACACACTACTAAGAGGTTTTCATCACAGGACGCAGAGTACCAGGATCCGTGTGTATCTGCTTTCACACAGTTTCCCCCAGCCTTATTCGGTTGTCCCTCAGCCCAGTTGGTGAAGTTTGCTGAGTCACGCACGACAAGGTAGGCTGCTTTGTTGTGCCTCTCCAGAACATTTGCGAAGGCCTTGTTCTGATTTTCGAGTTGAGGGGAAGGGATATGGCCCCCGGCTTCCTCACAAATGTCTCCGAGACCTTCAAACGGTTTGATTTCCTTGTTGCTCACGTACAATCTTTCACTGCCACTCCCAAAGGATCGGGCTAGAAACACAAGGAAGAAGCATATAAGAAGCTAAAGCATATAAGAAGAAGAAGAAGCTAAAGCATATAAGGAACGGCTGCTGGAATTAGGTATGTCCAGTTTAATGAAGAGAAGGATGAGGGGGAGCATGAGAGCAGTCTTCCAATTGTTTCTGCTGTTTTCACTCAGTTAGACAGCAACCCAGCAATCCACAAGAAGTCCACAAGACAGGGTAGCATGTGTGACAGGCCTGGAAAATATTGCACGGTCCCACTCTCTATTTTGACCCCTGCCTCTATAGAGGCTCTGGTAAGAGACAGGCAGCCAGTATTCAAATGGAATGGAACACAACTGAATTTGGCCAAGTGTGATTAGACACACAACGCATCATTTGGAGGGAAAGCCAGGTTGTTGTTTTTTCTTCAACTTTCTTACCCTTGTGGACTGTCAAGAAGGCATATTTCAGGTTGACGATCATTCCTTGAAGTTCTGTTACGGCTTCAATCATCGAAATCATCACTAGAAAGGAAAACAACACTACATTACTGGAATCACAGGAAGGCAATTTGACCAAACTGCCACCAACTGGTTGGCTTTCAAACAACCAGCAACTATACTTTCTTGGACTTGCCTACTTATCCTTCAGGTGAATGTTAGGCATCTCGGCTTAATATATATCAGTCCTCGGAAGAATGCATGAATGAAATGGCTTGGGGGGGAGAATTAGATTATTACCTCATTCTCAAGTCTACTTGAACCTCGCCCTCTGTGAACAAGAAGGACATCAGCAAGCCTGATTTCCAGATTATCCCATTCCAGGTGGGAATTCACACACTGGAAAGCTCTTCCTTGCGTTAGACATCCTTGCATTACAAGCCTTGCTTCAGCCATGATGTGCTGACTTCTACAGTTATGACTGCAGGACTAGAGGGGACATGATAGAAGGATTCCAGTATCTGAGAGGCTGCCACAAGGAGGAGGGGGGGTCAAAATATTCTCCAAAGCACCAGAAGGCAGGACAAGAAACAAC